GAGAAGAGGTGTCTACAGGGGGGGGGGGGTGATTAGACCCTCAACAAGTAAAGATAGCAGTTTTTAGATTTTCCAAGTTAAGGTTGCAAATTAGCACAATTTCAAGCATTCACAATACAATTCAAGCAAGTATGCAAAGAATATATGATCAGAGGAAAGTAAAGCATGCAACTTGCAAGAAAGTAAAGGGATGTGATTGGAGTGTGCAAACACAATTGGAGACACGGAGATTTTTGGCGTGGTTCCGATAGGTGGTGCTATCGTACATCCACGTTGGTGGAGACTTCAACCCACGAAGGGTAACGGCTGCGCGAGTCCATCGAGGGCTCCACCCACGAAGGATCCACGAAGAAGCAACCTTGTCAATCTCACCATGGACATCGCCCACGAAGGACTTACCTCACTAGGGTAGATCTTCACGAAGTAGGCGATCTCCTTGCCCTTACAAACTCCTTGGTTCAACTTCACAATCTTGACGGAGGCTCCCAGGTAACACCTAACCAATCTAGGAGACACCACTCTCCAAAAGGTAATAGATGGTGTGTTGATGATGAACTCCTTTCTCTTGTTCTTCGAATGATAGTCTCCCCAACACTCAACTCTCTCTCACACACAGATTTGGTTATGGTGGAAAGATGATTTGAGTATAAAGCAACTTGGGGAAGGCTAGAGATCAAGATTCTTGTGGTTGGATTGGAATGTCCTGGTCTCAACACATGAGTAGGTGGTCCTCTCTCAGAAAATGAGTAGTGGAAGTGTAGGCACGTACTGATGGCTCTCTCGCATATGGAGAAGGGGGTGGAGGGGTATATATAGCCCCCCACACAAAATCTAACCGCTACACACAAATTCTCAAACTCGGTGGGACCGAATGGTTAAACTTGGTCAGACCGACTTGGTTAAAAATGTGAACGCTCGGCATTTCGGTGAGACCGACAACATCAACTCAGTGAGACCGGTGCGCTAGGGTTAGGGCAAAACCTCATCTCGGTGAGACCATTCACATGAACTTGACGAGACCGATTTCAATAATAAGCGAACACAGACTTGGCCAGGCAAACTCGGTGGGACCTATCACTCATCTCGGTTAGAACAAAATGTTACAAAAAGGAAACAGAGAGTTTGTAATGCCATCTTGGTGAGACAGAGATCCCATTGGTGAGACCGAACTGATTAGGGTTTGTGGCAGTGGCTATGTCACTGAACTCGGTGGCGCCGGATAGATCAAATCAGTGGGGCCGAGTTTGACTTTAGGTTTATGACATATGGAAATGAGAAGAGTGGTTGAGGGCTTTGGAGAATATCACTAAGCACTTTAAGCAAGCAAGCCATTAAGCAACACCTCATCCCCTTTTAATAGTATTGGCTTTCCTATGGACTCAATGTGATCTTGGATCACTAAAATGAAAATGTAGAGTCTTGAGCTTTTGCCCTGGGGTGCCCCCTGCCCCCGTATATAAAGGAGGGAGGGGGGAGGCCGGCCGGCCCTTGTGAGTGCGCCAAGGAGGAGGAGTCCTCCTCCTAGTAGGAGTAGGACTCCCCCTTTCCTACTCCTACTAGGAGGGGGAAGGAAGGGGAAGAGGGGGGAAGGAAAGAGGGGGGCGCCCCCCTCCTAGTCCAATTCGGACCAGAGGGAGAGGGGGCGCGCGGCCCACCCTGGCCGCCCCTCTCTCTTTCCACCAAGGCCCATGTGGCCCATTATCTCTCCCCGGGGGGTTCCGGTAACCCTCCGGCACTCCGGTTTTCTCCGACAACGTTCGGAACACTTCCGGTGTCCGAACATAGTCGTCCAATATATCAATCTTTATGTCTCGACCATTTCGAGACTCCTCGTCATGTCCGTGATCACATCCGGGACTCCGAACAAACTTCGGTACATCAAAACTTATAAACTCATAATAAAACTGTCATCGTAACGCTAAGCGTGCGGACCCTACGGGTTCGAGAACTATGTAGACATGACCTAGAACTATTCTCGGTCAATAACCAATAGCGGAACCTGGATGCCCATATATGCGGAACTACGGACCACGCAAGATCATGGTGATGACATAGCAACGAGAGGGGAGAGTGTAGCCCACGTACCCTCATAGACCGTAAGCGGAAGCGTTATGACAACGCGGTTGATGTAGTCATACGTCTTCACGATCCGACCGATCCAAGCACCGAACGTACGGCACCTCCGAGTTCAGCACACGTTCAGCTCGATGACGATCCCCGGGCTCCGATCCAGCAAATATTCGGGGAAGAGTTCCGTCAGCACGACGGCGTGGTGACGATGATGATGTTCTACCGGCGCAGGGCTTCGCCTAAACTCCGCGATGATATGACCGAGGTGGAATATGGTGGAGGGGGGCACCGCACACGGCTAAGGAACGATCCGTAGATCAACTTGTGTCTTTGGGGTGCCCCTGCCCCCGTATATAAAGGAGGAAGGGGGGAGGCCGGCCGACCCTTGTTGGGCGCGCCAGGAGGAGGAGTCCTCCTCCTAGTAGGAGTAGGACTCCTCCTTTCTTACTCCTACTAGGAGGGAAAGGAAGGGGGAGAGGAGGGGAAGGAAAGAGGGGGGCGCCGCTCCCCCCCCCTAGTCCAATTCGGACCAGAGGGAGAGGGGGCGCGCGACCCTTCCTGGCCGCCCCTCTCTCTTCCCACCAAGGCCCATGTGGCCCATTAACTCTCCGGGGGGGGGGGGGTTCCGGTAACCCTCCGGCACTCCGGTTTTCTCCAAAATCACCCAGAACACTTCCGGTGTCCGAATATAGTCGTCCAATATATCAATCTTTATGTCTCGACCATTTCGAGACTCCTTGTCATGTCTGTGATCACATCCGGGACTCCAAACAAACTTCGGTACATCAAAACTTGTAAACTCATAATAAAACTGTCATCGTAACGTTAAGCGTGCGGACCCTACGGGTTCGAGAACTATGTAGACATGACCTAGAACTATTCTCGGTCAATAACCAATAGCGAAACCTGGATGCCCATATTGGTTCCTACATATTCTACGAAGATCTTTATCGGTCAAACCGCATAACAACATACGTTGTTCCCTTTGTCATCGGTATGTTACTTGCCCGAGATTTGATCGTCGGTATCCAATACCTAGTTCAATCTCGTTACCGGCAAGTCTCTTTACTCGTTCTATAACACATCATCTTATAACTAACTCATTAGTTACAATGCTTGCAAGGCTTAGGTGATGAGTATTACCGAGAGGGCCCAGAGATACCTCTCCGACAATCGGAGTGACAAAACCTAATCTCGAATTATGCCAACCAACATGCACCTTCGGAAACACCTGTAGATCACCTTTATAATCACCCAGTTACGTTGTGACGTTTGGTAGCACACAAAGTGTTCTTCCTGTAAACGTGAGTTGCACAATCTCATAGTTGCAGGAACTTTGTATAAGTCATGAAGAAAGCAATAGCAACATACTAAACGATCAAGTGCTAGGCTAACGGAATGGGTCATGTCAATCACATCATTCTCCTAATGATGTGATCCCATTAATCAAATGACAACACATGTCTATGGTTAGGAAACATAACCATCTTTGATTAATGAGCTAGTCAAGTAGAGGCATACTAGTGACTATATGTTTGTCTATGTATGCACACATGTATCATGTTTCCGGTTAATACAATTCTAGCATGAATAATAAACATTTATCATGAAATAAGGAAATAAATAATAACTTTATTATTGCCTCTAGGGCATATTTCCTTCAGTCTCCCACTTGCACTAGAGTTAATAATCTAGTTCACATCGCTATGTGATTTAACACCAATATTCACATCTGCATGTGATTAATACCCATAGTTCACATCATCATGTGATCAACACCCAAAGGGTTAACTAGAGTCAATAATCTAATTCACATCGCTATGTGATTAACACCCAAAAGA